TTATACACCAGCCTGAGTATTTCAAGGTGAAAACGGTGCGGCTTTTGCAATTTTCACTTCCGCGACAGAGGCTGAACCGATAAACACCGGGGGTAAACCTGCTCGCGTTTGTGATTCGAGTAATGCGATCCACGCGACGGGACGCGTCTGACCTTCACACAGGCCACGCGTCGATCTAGCATCACTACCAAACCACAGGCATTACTGGACGTGAAACTTTCTTTGCTCCCTCACTAAGTGCTTGGTCGGCAGTAGACCTGCAGCGCCACTGCACTGCTGGAGTGACCAGGAGATAAGCGCGCTATCAGCGTAGGGTTACTTGTAAAGTAAGTTGTACTAGATGTAGAGATCGTTCGTTTCCTTCGGCGGACGAAAGTTAGTTGGGTTTTAGACCGCGCCACCACCCTCTAACTTCTAAGCCGTGGGTGGGCAAATGCATCAGCTGAAGTGCAGGGTAGATCTACGCCGACATACTCAGTAGTTAGTGCTCAGCTAGAACTTGAAGTAAGTGAGAGTCACATCATCCAAGTAATAGTTCCCACCGAGCGCGTCGAGGTCGCATCGCAAGAAAGCGCAGAGCAGGAAGTGGATTTGCCCGTTGCTCGTTTCGCTCAGTGCTGAAAGCAGAAGGAGCCTGAAAGTGAAGCTGTTGAGTTTCGAAACGCTGGTCACTTTCCCCCAACCTCAGTTTTCGGTAGCGAGGCCAGACTCTACAGAGTAGAGAAGCGCAAGCATGATGTCGGAGACTGTGCCTGATTCAGCGGTAACGACAGATCAAGTCGGAGAAGGTAATGATGATGCGGCCACTCCTGAGCCGCAACAACCCAGAGAGATGGCCATCGATGTGGAGGAGACGAACGAGAGCGACAAAGGGAAAGCACTGAACAACGACGACAAGGGAAGCAAGGTTTTGGTTCAGGGCTGGATGACGAAGCTCGGTGGTCACCGCGTCAAGGTTTGGAGACGACGGTATTTCAGCTACGACCAAGAGACGGGAATGCTTCAGTACATGAAGGACGACAGCGGCAAGGGTCCTGCCTTGGGCGTAATCAGCATGCCCCACGTTCTTTATGCCACCATGCGTACGAACAGCGAGTCGAACACCACTGGCGGTGGTCTGTGGCCGACTGGCGTGCCGAACAAGCGATGCCTGCAGATCGTCACGGCGAATCGAACTTTCAGCATGTACTGCGACACGGCAAAGGAGACACAGGACTGGCTGATAGCCCTTCGCAGTGGCTGCGGAGCGTCGCCCTACGGCGGCATCGAGATCGACATCACCGCTGGCGAGCGACCCGTGTCCGACGCATCCCTGCTGAGCACCGGGAGTCTGCAGCTGACGGACGCTGTGAAGATCCGCAGCAGCCCGGACGGGCCAGGCAGCAACGGTGTTGTGGCGAATGAGCACATCATACGACAGTACAACCTGGCAAATGTACCGCCAGTGGCTATGAACAACATAGTCCGCTGGCACGGCATCAAGGAGGCATCTCTGGACAGGCTGAACGCAGCCTACGGGCTGAGCCGTGAGGAGGAGGAGGGCTTCTCCGTTGAGTGCGATCTCGGCCGGTTGTACGAGGTCACGCCGGCCGGACTGCGTGCACGCCTCGGTGAGTACATCCTGGGGGACTACACAGACGAGCTGTGCCACAGCCTGCAGCAGCTAGCACGCCAGCCGCTCAGCAAGGTAAGCGTCCTGGCCGCGCTGCCCTCGCCGCGCAAGATCACGATCGTCGCCGGCAACTTTGCCAAGAGCTGTACGTTGTCGACGGCGACCAGCGTCGTGGACGGCTCGACGCTCGTCGTCAAGGTGAATCCGAGATTTGTCGGCCAGCAGGCGCACAAGGTCGGTCTCGACGCCCTTAACGGCATGCGCGTGACGCGCGAAGCTCAAGAGCAGCAGAACGAACACACGCAGACGGCACCCGTCCCCACCGTCGCAGCTGCTGCCAGCCCGGTGAGCAGCTGTTGCGAGAATCGCGAGAGTCTTCTCGAGGAGGAAGAGGAGAACGGCAGCCGTGTGAGCACGCTGAGTCGAGGGGAGACGCAGCAAGTCTCCACGGAAGACGACTCGACGGGGCCAGCTCAAGGAAAGGTAGTGACGTCGTCATCGTCCGGCGAGTCCGTGAACTGCCACCGTCGGTTGTCGTCGGTTAAGTCGTCGCACAGTGGCGTCGTGGCAACCACATCGAACGCCGCCGCAGCGCGCCTGGAGAGCATCACACCCTGGGACCGCAGCTTCACCGGGGTGCGCGTGAGCCTCGCCGTCAGTGCACTGCAGGCCGCACCGCAGCTGAACGCTGCCGGCAGAAAGCTGCGTCGTTGGATACCGCGACTGCGTGACGTGCACGTCGCGGTGCAATGGAAGGAGCTGGACGACGTCGTTGCTCAGCTCGACTGCGGCGACGAGCTCATCCGTCAAGGCTTCGGCAAGCTGCTCGTAGGCAGCGTGCTCCCGGCGATGATCGGGCAGTTTGCATCGCGCTGCCGCGAGAGCAAGGAGTTCCAGACGGCGGTGGCACAGCGCTGCGTATGCGGTGTGCTGGCCATGCAGGTCAAGCCAGCCAAGAAGTCGTCATCGTCGTCATCGTCGTCGTCGTCGTCTTCTCGTCGCCTCCTGCACTTGCGGCTGAGGCGTCGCGAGGCCTGCTTTCTCGGGGTATCGGTCTACCCTGCTCGCTTTCTCGGCAAGACGAGCGCACAACTGGCGTCCGAGGCGAGTAAGTGCAAGGTTGACAAATTTCTGGAGAAATTGTGAATGGTGGATCTTGCGGACAGAGTATTCTGGCTGCCGTAAATCCGATGTTTGTATACGGTTGAGCAGCCGGGACTTCCAGGAGTTGTGGAAACAGGTTTGAGTCCAAGTGTAGGTGAGAGAGAATGTTTGTGTAGTTATACTGCTGTGTGTGTGTGTGTGTGTGTGTGTGTGTGTGTGTGTGTGTGTGTGTGTGTGTGTGTGCGTGTGTGTGTGTGCGCGCGTGTGTGTCGGTGTTGGTGTCGCACGCCTACAGTTTTTTTCTGGCAGAATTGCAACCAATATCGTCTCATTACTTGTATGTACCAGTTTTCTTGACGTATCTCATTCCGGAGTCACCAGACGAAATAGAACTAAATACAACTATCTAATCAATTTCTTTTGAAGGTCATCAACGGCGAATTTCAACTGCTCGGTAATTTACTCTAACGCTTTCGTTGGTTTACCATGGAGTTTTCCTTCCCTTTCTGTCTTTCTTTTCATTCGCCATGTGCTTTCTACGATTGTATTATAATTATCATTATGATAAACTTTCAGAGCATGCACCAAGCAAACACATTGGAACAGGAGAAGTGATGTTTAACTTCTACGAACTGTCTAAAGGAACAAAGTACAACATTAATAATGCTTATTTTACTTGCTTTACAAAATCTTGACACAATTTTCTTTCTGGGGCCTGTCTTCTGCTAAAATATTTTCTGGATGGGGGAGTTGAAACGGATTTCTCATAAAAAATGTGTTTGACACGCTTCCTCATGCTTGCCCATGCTGGCTCATTGGGAACAGGACTGGTACAGCCTGGGCAATTACAATGTAGCTCGCCCTGTCCAGTAAAGAAGTCGGATAGGAAAGACATGTTGGCGCGGGGTGGAAATCCTGGGAATTATGTTCTATGATAATCATTATGAAGCAATTGAATATGGTGGTGGTGAGACTGACAACCGGGTGAAAATTAATGCCGCCTGCCCACACAAGCTCTCTAAGCTGAACAACTTCTCTCCTGCTAAAAAGAGCTCTCCTTCTCACCACCAGCATCACCGGTGCACTGGCAGTACCGCCATCATGCATGCAGTTCATCCATGGGCGCCTAGTTGATACACGTCTAGCGGTATGTGACATAGCCTGTCCCTCCAGGAAATCGCGATTCCACGGACGCAACAAATTTCGCGATTTTGGCCCAAACCCGCGATTTTCTGAAAAATCCGCGATTTCCCGCGTTTTTTGTTATTTTCTGCACTTCTTTTGACATTTTTCTGCACTTTTCACGCAGTATACAGTGCTTTCCATGATCCTGCTCGTAGGTTATTTCCACAGTACGCAAATAGCCATTCTAAGGATACAACAAATTTCGTGATTTGGCCCAAATCCGCAATTTTCTGCCAATAATTCCGCGAGTTCCTGGCAAGTTCCGCACTTTTCGCCGCATTTTTTGTTGTTTTCTGCCGCACTTTCTTGCGCAAGTTTTCGAGGATTTTTTCCGCAAATTCCCGCAGGGACAGCATAGCGGGCTGGTACATCAGAACATAGCGGGCTGGTACATCAGAACATAGCGGGCTGGTACACCAGGAAAGTGTGGCATAGACGATTCATTCCTATAACAAAGCAGACTGGAAACTGAGGTAGCTTGACCCAATAACACGGACCCGGATAGGAGATTTGCCTTTGTCAGCGAGCTTTCACGAAGCACTTTTTTTAAATTTCGGCCAGAGGCTACTATCATTATTTATTTTCGTTTTGGGAGTTAGACAAGGGGCCGGGGAAGTAGCCATGTAGATCTACGTAGGGGCGTGAGCCCGCCTTTCGGCACCGGGAGTTGAAGCTCGCTCGATTCGACTGTACTGAGTGAAGAGAACCCACACCTTTACTTGATCTGGTGTCAGTGGTGAGCTGTGTCGTGGGGATTTTGCAGTCAGATGTGCGACTACAGTACAGTACAATCATGTCATGTACCGGTAGTCGACTGCGGGGCTCGAACCCTCGAACCCGTGACCTCTCGGGTCGCAGACAAGCACCTTCACCAGAGCACCACTAGCACTACAAGTACAAGTGTAGTGCATGCACTGGCATATGGGCATACACGTAACAACCACATGGAAAGTGTGCGCTGACTCACACACTATGGGGCCATTCTTAGATTTAGATACTAGTACAGTAGTAGTACTAGTAGTACTAGTAGTCAAAAGGAATACAAACGCCTTTCTGCTCCATTTGCCTTCTTCCCGCTGTGCGTCCATTCTCTTCTGTATACGTGTCAAATTCTAAGTTCATTGGGGTAATACAAAATTACTGTAAAACAAAAGCCAGGCAAGAGTTGTAAATAGATGACTTTAAAAATGGATACACTGGGTAGAAACGGTGCAGGTGTAGAGGACAGATTGACAACACCACAGAAGCGGGTACTGAGCTTCTGTCAGGGGACTAGGGATCGGAACAAAAATTAATTTTAATGGTGGCACTACAAAGCATACACACAACCATAATGAAATCCATGCCCACCCTAAAGTAGCAGTTGAACTAATGCTATGCGAGTATGCGTGATGACACGAAAAGATTAGCAAACCGACAGCAACGGCAGAAAAAAGCAGGCGACAAGATTCTCAAGAGTAAAGAATTTCTTCATCTTCCTTCTCGGATACGACAGTGATAGGCCCGGTGCGAGCCATACGTACATGAAAATCAAGCAGCGGCATTGTGTAAATATGCGCGAAAAGGATGTGAGCCAGGATAATGCCAATGAAATTGTTGCGGACAGGCGCACCTATCGTAGAGGGGAGCGGTAAAAAAACAAATAGCGCGGATGATAATTCGATTCATGGTAGTAAAGCAACAAACAAAATGGTCAGGGTTCAGGTCAGACTCAGTTAGAGAGACTTCTGCAAGCTTGAAATAAAATTCTCCAAGGGATGGGATTAGCTCAGTAGTATATACACGAAAGCATAATAGCATAATATATTCAGGAGCGTATACAAGGTTCCAACGTCCTCACGTGAGAGGGCCTCAGTCAAAGCGCGACACTTTGCCAGTTCCGCAGAGCATCACTCAACACGAGAGAGAGGGAGAGAGATGAGATATTTGGTGCTGTTGCTATGAGTGGTCTCCCGCCACGTCGAAACACGTCCCAAAAAAGCGACGGCATTTCGACGGCACCAGCTGGGTAGGACTTCGATTTCCGCAGCCACCACCAAAGCTCAGCGGCGATGACTGTGTGTGCCTATTGGGCTCTGTGTCCCAGCAGAGGTGTCCTCTCTGTGAGCTGTGAGCGAACGGAACTAACCGTCGGGCACCTGGGACCTGCACGTGGTCATACAGAAACCGGAAAGACATACCGGACGCTAGGCTGCATTCACATAAACGGCTGTAAAAAATTGCAAACGTCTCTTCTCCATAGCTGATTCTGGTCATCAGAGGGAGGTGTTAGAGAGCTCCTGTATAATGCGCTCGACTTAGTGAGGGTAGTACTCATCTCCTCCCCCGCGTTACCTTGCTATACTCACTGCAATCTCACCGCTAAACTGAGCAGTTGTAGAAGAAGGAGCATACTGTTTCTCGGTCCACCCTGCACACTCACTCATACGTGTACACCACTATTGAACACGTCAATATTGCCAGTGGGGGCCACCACAGCGTGAAGACAAAAGAAAACTGGACAGTCTTAGAAGAAGGAGCATACTGCAAGTCTACAAATTTCGGCGCGAATAAATTTCGGCCTCCCAGGGCTAAAACACATTTCGGCTCATTAAATTAAAATTTCGGCCCGCACTACTGCTGCCTGAATACACTGTCACAGTGAAACCTTGCAAAACAAAATGTCTGCCCTAACAAACTTTCGGTCAAACATGCCCCGGCCGAATATAGCCGAAATAGATGTGGGCCGAATATTCGTTGGCATACAGTAGCAGACTACAAAGAGTTGGACTTACCGACAAAGCTCAGCAGGACGGGAAGGAAGATGAGGCCGTGGGTAGCTCCGAACAACACCATACACAAGTACATACGGAAATAGAAGATCTGATGGAGAGAGAGAGAGAGAAAGAGAGAGAGAAAGAGAGAGAGAAAGAGAGAGAGAGAGAGAGAGAGAGAGAGAGAGAGATAAAGAGAGTGAGTGAGAGAGAGAGAGAGAGAGAGAGAGAGAGAGAGAGAGAGAGAGAGAGAGAGAGAGAGAGAGAGAGAGAGAGAGAGAGAGACAGAGAGAGAGACAGAGAGCGAGAGAGAGAGAGAGAGAGAGAGAGAGAGAGAGAGAGAGAGAGAGAGAGAGAGAGAGAGAGAGAGAGAGAGAGAGAGAGAGAGAGAGAGAGAGAGAGAGAGAGAGAGAGAGAGAGAGAGAGAGAGAGAGAGAGAGAGAGAGAGGTGGAGACAGACACAGACAGACACAGACAGACAAGAGAGAAGGAAACAGAGGGTCAGAAAGACAAGACACACATGTAAAAAACACAAACAAAAATTGCAGTCCAGGCAACAGACAAGGAGCAGCGAAGGAGCTTCCAAAGAATGGCGTTGGGTTACCATACTGTCAAGCATGGCTTTGGGGAGAAACACACCAAGCCATCTCCCAACACGGGCTAGGGCTACTTAAGGACGGACTCTACGGGACGATTGTACATCTATTTGTTCAAAATAGCGGGAGTTCTTCTAATCCATATTTTTAACGTACAGCGATTTATCTAATAGAATTATCGAGACTAACACACGCACACACACACACACACACACACACACACACACACACACACACACACACACACACACATACACACACACGCACGCATGCACGCACACACACGCACACACACACACACACGTACCTGGAAAAGCTGTGACTTGGCAAATGCTAGCACCACGATACCTACAAACTTGGTGAGAGTTATACCACTAATCACCTGAGAGTAGAGCACACAACACAGCATGGAAGTGAACTGTCATGAGCACTGCCAGGGGCGTTGCACACGGTACGGTCGCTACGGTATTGACCGTACCACTATTTACCCCAAGTACGCCGTGAATCAATAAAATGCACTGATTTGGGCTCTAAATTTCCAAAATGTTCGGCTCAGCCATCACTCCCCAACGAGTACATTGTACTTAAGATCTGAGATGGCTGACCATACCACACTAAAATACCTTCCGACGCCCCTGACTGCTCATGACAAACAAGGTCCCGGGCTCGAGTCCTGGTGGGTGAGGCAACGTTTTCTCTCTTTTCAGCCAGTTTACTTCCCCTGACCGTTTACCTTGATTACGAAAACCAACAAATATTGGCAGACCGTGCAAATCGTGGAGTACAATGTAAGTGATATACAACCTACAGACAGGACACGACCACAAAGGGGAATAAAATCTCAGCGAATGATGGGGCTCTAGCAGCACGCCTCGACCACCCCGTATCACCCCTGATACTCCCTTCACACCTCTGTCAGATACGTTTTCTTTCGTAACGTTCAAATACCTGTCCTTTCTTTTCTAAATGCGGCTTACGCATTCGCCTTCATATCACTGGGCCTAGTTCCTGTTTATTGTGCGAATTAAAAGAAACCAGCCAACAAACCAACTTGACGGTACCCCGTTTTCGTGATTTGGGATGCATACTGTAGACTATTCACTGCTAATATTACGGAAGAAAAGGAGAAGGACAAAAATGTTACGAGTTATGACTGACTGACCACCAGAGTAACCAGATATTATGCAGTCAGCGAGCGCGACAAAAAATGGCACACAACTGACAAGGATCCGTCACAATGTGGACACAAATTCACAGAACCCTACTTTCCGCAGTAGAAGCCGCACTTTGAGCACTCAACATTCACCCAAGAGACTGCGGGGTGCGGCTTATACTCCGATGATCAAATCCACGATGATAAATTGGGTCGATGTCCGAATTTCGTGGCAAAAATGGGGGGGGGGGGGTGGGTGCGGCTTATATACTCTGGAAAATACAGTAAGTGAAAGGGGAAGGGGAATGATGTGCAGAACAGTGAAAATGCGTATTATCAAGAGTACATAACCTAAAGAGTGTGCAACTGCCTGCACAACCTCTATGCTGTGCTGCGACAGCAGAACTTCACATCACGTGACATGGTCCAAAAGGTTATGCTGGCAAACAGTGCAAAGTGACCACAAGAGAGTCGTACCCAAATCTGGGTTGCGTACGACCCTGTATCTATCATGCACAGAGTGCAAATAATGTGTACGGGTTCATCACGAAGTTCTGTGAAGTTCTGCCGTCGCAGACCCATAGCTGGAGTTGCACACTCTTGGGGGGTTATGTACTCTTGGTGTTATTGATAGCACCACATTGTCTCCAAATCCCATCGGTGACTGGCCCTTCGGGGCTGGCAAGACTTACCGAGCTGCCCATGTGTGCAAGGGCGTCCTTGGCACGCTCGATACGCGTCGGCTTGCAGGATACGCTGAACTTGCGAACAATGTGGGCACAGAACTCAACAGAGATGCCAACCGCCTGCAGACAGAGAAATAAAGACGGTATTGTTCGGAATCACGTGACACAACACACGTCCATACAAGGATGTTTTTCACCAGCTTCCCACCACGTGATCCCTAAATGGTGGTGGCGTTACTACGGATGCGGAAAACTCGGCCTCTAGCCGAGTCTGACGCGAACCGTGAATTTTTTTATTTCCGAGTTTTTCCCACTACTAAGTCCCACAAATACGGACAAACACTGGTGTGTCCTCTGTACACTAACACCGTGACTCACTTTCTCTTATTCTCTCACGCAGAAGCACACATGTACACACTGAACGACAAACAGACAGACAAACAGACAGACAGACAGACAAACAGACAGACAGACAGACAGACAGACAGGCAGGCAGGCAGGCAGGCAGACAGGCAGGCAGACAAACACACACACACACATACACCTCAGACCTCAGACATGCCCATCGCGGAAGCGATGATAGCGAACAGCTATGTTAGACATAGCAACTTGTGCTGGGATTACACCATTCAACACCTTGCAAGGCTGATGAATTGACCGCCACTATTTTTAGCCTGGTATCCACCACACAGCTGTTTGAAGTGACTTTTTCTCGCCAGTGAATCCCTATTTTTTCATTTTTCCATTTTTTTTCTACACACACCACACCACATACTCCAGCATACACTGGCTGTTGGTAACCACCCAGGAGAAAGAAAGAAAAGTCAGGAAGAGTCCGAGAAAGAGAAGGAAGACGTGTGCGACCATAATCGTCGGGAATCGAACCCGCAACCTCTTGATTGGAAATCGACTGCACATACCACTGCACCATATGGGACACACACACACACACACACACACACACACACACACAAACAAACTGCCGCACGTATCCACCAGCGTACCATGACGAGGTTGACCAGCGAGATGGCATTGAAGCTGATCCCCCAGTAGTACATGACTCCCATGATGTCCACCACGATCATGACGACCGTCACTAACGTGATGAGTGCCGAGCTCACACTGAAACCCATCAGAATGAACGACCAGGTGAAGATGGCAGCTGTATAAGTAATTGGGAGTAGACACAGAACACCAAACAACAACAGGCATGAGGATCAAAGATCAAGTGGCTACCACAACTCCACACTGAAGCGCGTGCCGATAGTCACGTGCGCGCAAATGCACACACATACGCATGCACGCACGCACGCACACACACACACACACACACACACACACATACACACGGGCATGCAAAATACACACCCTCACAGACACAGGCATGCTAAAGTGCACCTTCTTGAAAAAAAAAACAGAGCAATGGACTGCGCACAACTCTGAGCGCGAGAAGATCATTTCAAAGGTCTGCCTATAAAGCCATTCGGAGCAGAACTCGCATCCACCAATGCCTAATCTCAAAGTAAGTAGGAACATGAGTCAGTCGAGGAAATCATGAACGCTTTATAGTTCAGAGACTGTGACTTTCTAGCCGCCTGGATGGTTGGTTTGAAAAGGGAAAAGAAAAAGTAAAGTTCGCACGTTCGCATTACCACCGGCTAAAGTACAATCGTGTTGAGAAACACAACCGGTTTAGAGACGTTTTGCTCCTGTGAGGTCACCACCATGCCTGGTATACATGTACCTGGTTTGAAAATATTGAAGGCAAGATTCAGTCGAGTTCAGAATGCTTACCACAGCAAAGTCCCAAATTGACCATGGACTCGTGCACCAGATCCAAGTACTGCTCATAGAACACGTAGAAGTAGCTGTGAAGCCAACGCATACATACACACACACGCATGCCCGCACGCACATGTAAACACACACACACACACACATGTACACACACACACCTGACTAAGGGTTAGCATGGAGTACGTACTACAATTTCCACGTGCCAGAGATTCACCATGACACTGGGTTAGTAAAAAAAAAAAAAAAAAAAATGACACTGTTAACAAGCATAAGGCATCCAGTGGCGTAGCTCGGGCAATATTTGTATGGATACTAGATATCTTTGGCCAGCCAAGTCTAGATGTATTGGAGGTCCTTGATACAAATAACACACCCAATATCTGAGAAAATCGACCTTCGGGGCTGTCTTGGTGAAGTTTTATTCATTTTATTGCAAATTGATGTCTAGCCTTTGTAGAGTATTGTGCCTTCGTTTCACGGCCATCAGACCGATATTGACCACGTAGAAATGCATTTTACGGTCAGGAGTCATGTTAATGAACTGTTCTCTTTTTACAATTTCAAAAGATCAGTGTGTTTGGAGCCACCAAAAATTGTTTCCATGTGATATCAATAGCCAACTAATATAATAGACTCGGATACTGAGCCAGTAATAAATGTAAAAAAAGAGAAGAAACACATGAGAACGAGTTATGCAGTCGTTATACACAAAGTTCCCTGAATCTACTAATACTCCTTCATCTATGCAACATGTATATGGTCTATCCCAGCCTGATCTTCTGGCGGAACGAGGCCATTTCACACTCACAAAACGATGCTGTCTCATTACGATTTACGAACAGCGGGATGTCGCATTGACCAAAACACAACGTCATCGCCCTTTGTTTTTTTTGCAACCGCACTGACTCACCTGTAGGCGAAGACTTCCACGCCGAGAGTTGTGGAGATGTTTGCGGCAATTCGCCGCGCCTGCTTCAGAGCCTGAGTGTAATCCTGTGATGTCTGGCACACCGAGTGGTACGCCATGAAGTAGCTGGCTGTATACGGCCACACACACAAATACGCAGAACGTACAGAATACATGTGAGTGCATGGAACACACGGACATTGATAAATCTTGCGGGCACAAACACACACAAAAAGGTCAGCACGCAATCACATACAGGGACACTACACCTTTGAGCACAATTGCACATTTCAAACCCCACAAATAATCCAGAGTGGATTGACACAAACAACAATACAGATACTCGTCTACAGCTTACAGCGCACTGTTTCCACCGGGGAGTTGATGTCACTCGGAGTCCGGTTCACCGCAGCGTTGTATGCTGCCTTTCCTCTGCAACGACCAACAGAAACACAACGGTAACAGCATTAATTAACGAAAACACAAAGCTACAATGCAATGCACAAGGCCTGGGGTCTTCAAAATGTAAGCGTCCTTCAGGACAGGACAACATCGCCATAGCGCAGTACAGCTGTACAAATCTACCCTATAATCCATCTTAAAAAGATGAACTTCTGGCTTTTTGCAATAAATAGGTCAAACTTGAAGTTTTTGAAAGAACTGGTTTGCAATCCCATAATTATGGAATACTCAATATTCTTCCAATTGTGATTCTGAAGTCTACTTCTCCAAAAGCAAGCTGCAACAAGACTAGTATTTAGGCTAGGCGTTGCCCCAAAAGCACAGAATTAGGAAAAACCATGAAAATCCAGGCCTCTTCAATCCACTTGCACCAATACATTGTGCGGCTTGAACCTCAGTTGAGGTACCTGTTTTTTCGAAACTTTATTCACACTTCAAATTCTGTGGCACTGCACCGTGTACGATGAAATCACCAAAAGATTACAGGATCTCGCCAGAGTCGGAGCCCATCTTCAATACGATCGGACCGTAGAACGCCGGCATCACTTCACTCACCCTTTAGCGCAGTCCTTGCCGGGGATGTCAGCCAAGAACTTGTTCATGAACTTCATGAAGATCTCCTTGTCCGGATGTCCGGTCGCCACGTCCGATGGCTTGAGACAAGGTGTGCACGTTGCTTCTTCCGGCGTCACTGCACCAGTTAAAGAGATGAGAAAACAGTGTTGGAGAACTGAACAACATGTTTGTGCTGTGGGTTGGTGTGCTGTGTGTTTGTGTGGTGTGTGTTTGTGTGGTGTGTTTGTGTGGTGTGTTTGTGCTGTGTGTTTGTGTGGTGTGTTTGTGCTGTGTGTTTGTGTGGTGTGTTTGTGTTGTGTGTTTGTGCTGTGTGTTTGTGTGGTGTGTTTGTGTGGTGTGTTTGTGTTGTGTGTTTGTGTTGTGTGTTTGTGTTGTGTGTTTGTGCTGTGTGTTTGTGTTGTGTGTTTGTGTTGTGTGTTTGTGTTGTGTGTTTGTGTGGTGTGTTTGTGTGGTGTGTTTGTGCTGTGTGTTTGTGTTGTGTGTTTGTGTGGTGTGTTTGTGTTGTGTGTTTGTGTTGTGTGTTGGTGTTGTGTGTTTGTGTTGTGTGTTTGTGTTGTGTGTTTGTGTTGTGTGTTTGTGTTGTGTGTTTGTGTTGTGTGTTTGTGTTGTGTGTTTGTGTTGTGTGTTTGTGTTGTGTGTTTGTGTTGTGTGTTTGTGTTGTGTGTTTGTGTTGTGTGTTGGTGTTGTGTGTTTGTGTTGTGTGTTTGTGTTGTGTGTTTGTGTTGTGTGTTTGTGTTGTGTGTTTGTGTTGTGTGTTTGTGTTGTGTGTTTGTGTTGTGTGTTTGTGTTGTGTGTTTGTGTTGTGTGTTGGTGTTGTGTGTTTGTGTTGTGTGTTTGTGCTGTGTGTCAGAGCAAATGTATAAACTATAACGCATAGCTGGTTGGGCAGAATAGAAGAGGCAGTCGGAATGTGGTACAAACACATAATGTATGTGTCCCATCCTACAGCCAGGCACACATGCACCCACACACGTACGCACGCACGCACACACACACACACACATACACACACACACACACACACACACACACACACATGCGTGCACGCACACACACACACACACACGCACACAAAAACACACACACACACACACACACACACCAGGCATTGTACCAGCTTACCAGAAGCATTGCAGAACTCGGTGTAGTTACCCTCGACCAGCCGACAGCAGCTGACGGACGGCGATATCCACTGCAGATAGTCATTGACCCAGGACGATGCGGACGTTGCTAACCGGGTACTGTGCGCATGGCAAATACAACACAAAGACTGGATGTCAGCGCAAGAAGGTGCAGTCAAACCTGGCCTATTCGGACGCCCTTCGTGCAGCGGAAACTGTCCTGATACGAACGGATTCCGCTTGATCCAGGCACGCAAGTTCGATCCACAGTACGCCAGTTGTCCGCTCAATACAGGATTCCGTTTGGTACAGGGTTAGGCAAACATAACGTGTACTGTGCAGAGGCACACAAAGTACAGCGCTGCCAACTGAAATCTGACCCCCCCTAGCGTCTCGTACGAATCGCTAACGCGGCTAGCGCACCGCTAGGGGGGGGGGGGTCGGATTTCAGTTGTCAGCACTGTACTATGATTTTGTTGACAGGCCACAAGAAGTCTTGAGGCTTTGTCGCTTTCTCGTTCTCAAGAAGGGAGTTTGGGTGCACACGACCATTCCCACAACACAGCACATCCGAAAACAAGGCATTACCAAGGCGGACATGCCATTCGTGGTCTCTCTATCAAAGATTGTTTTCCGTACGCTATTCTTCCTGCTGCAATCTATTTCACGATGAAACAGTTGACGGATGCGTGGAACCCATTATTTGGGAGACATGGCACTTTTATTATTATCTTTATTATTATCATTATTAAAGATTGGTCGCACCAATGCACAATTCAGTTGCACACGCCTCTTGTTGTGTTCTCACTAGTTAGATTGTTTGGAGGCCATGCTGAGTTGAGCTCCCAGCGAGTAGGGACTGCAGCCGGACGTTGTACAGATCTAATACACACACACACACACACACACACACACACACACACACACACAAAACACACGCACACATGCGTTCATGCAGACACATAGGCAAGCACACACACAAAACGGCATGCACACACAAACACACACACAAACACAAACGCAAGCACAGAGACAACAAAAGAGGAACGTCGATAACCAGTACGTCCAATGACAGACTTGTGGCCATCAGCTTTGGAGGCTTGTCCAAAGACATCCTGTTGAGGGGGGGGGGGATGAAATCTCACAGTAACACACTCCATAAAGCGGAATATACATGTATGTCCAAACGTGTAATCACTCTCAAGTCTCAACCCCTTCCCTTCTTCCCATGTATCCCCCCCCCCCCCCCCACACACACACACCTCAGCCCCCCCCCCCCCCACACACACACCTCAGCCCCCCCCCCCCCAAAACACAGCTTCCCTGCTTCCAACAGCAACCCGACTCCATTAGAAAAGACAATGACATGCTGCACCCTACCTTGTCCACATCTTCGGCATAGTCGAAGCCGTCCTTGACGACAAAGTAGACAGGCGAACCGACACGAAACACTTCGTTCATCTCATGGAAGTATTTCAGAAGGTAGGAATCCTACACGGAACGGCGAAGAGAGAACACAAACAATACAATCATGCAGCAAAGTCATTGCCTGTAGACATCGCCTGCTTCCAAAATGCTTCTTCTGCAGGTTTTGAAAACAATATAATATACACGGCTTGCACAAGGATCAGGCACACTGGCCTCTTCGCATTCTTTCGAAAACAATGCCAATCGAAATAAAAGCACGCATCACATTCAGAATACACAACTGCTCAATGTTGCCGGCCAGGTAAATACAGAGAGCGAAGGTCCCTGGTTCCAGTCCCACTGGTGACAGTCACTTTCGTCTCCAGACTTTCCCCTTTTCAGCTCCCTCAGCTAACGAATATCATATACTGTAAGACATGTATATATAACGAGGAAGCAAATCTAACGTTTTTAACGGATGACATTTCTTCGTTATAATAAGATCCGTTGAGGCCGTACTGCTTCATATATGCTGTGTGTGGATATGGCAGAATACTGCAAGATCGTTAACATATCTTCTCGTTAACCTATGAATTTTGGACAATCGTTAAATTTGCGACTCGTTATAATAACATGTCTTACAGTACAAAGTTCAAAGCATGACAGTCCATTCATCGGAAGCAGTCCCGCTCGCTTTTGAAAGTCCGATTTGGGTCGAATTGAGGATCAAAACCCACTTTAAATCTCGAAAATCTGGGTTTGGGGTCCGCTTCTCCATATATATTGCCATGGCATACCTGGCCTAATTTCGTAAAACCTGGCTGAATTTCTGGCCCCTCACCGTGACTACAGTCCATAGTGACAGTGAGGGGCCAGCTGGGGGTTGTGAATACAATCAAACTCAAAGTCAAAGAGCCACGGAGTGCAGGCCAGGAGAAATAGCAAACATGGGCAGCAGGCGGCACTTTACCGCACCTTTGGCAATGCGAGCGTCTGATCCAAGCCGACGTCGAGATGCGGAATGCGCGTCAGACTGCCGAAGAAGATTAGCGTGAAGAAGATCATCTGTCGTGCGGACAGCGAAAGAACACAGTACAGGCGCAACACAGCGGCATTCATTAATGACAGACCCAAAGCACGGCACAGGCACTCATAAACGACCGGCCCTGACAAAACAGCACCGACAGCAGAGTCGGAACACAGCACAGGCAACACAGAAGCATTCATGTATATAAACACACTGCATGTTTTCCTGGAGCACCAGTGGACACTACATAGTGTACATTTGCCATCGCAACCAGTGCCACCCCAGGAAATACCAAAACGATCATATTTCAGATAGAGCTAAGTGCCAGGTCGTTGAATGTCACCATAATGTGTAAGCTACTGGCCTTCCTTATTTGATTATATTTCGGAATGGAAGTATTTCTGGTCGAAACTTGGCCGCCGCAATCCCAGCTATCCACCTCACCCTGCCCAGACCAGAACATGCAGCAGTGGCAACAGTGAGTGTGTTCGATTACGCACTTGAATCGATTCATGAATCCATTCGCATGCATTCAAGTTGTTCGATTTTCATGCCACGAGCCCTGGAATTGTTCCTATTTGATTCATCCTATCCACATGGAGTGATGAGAATAGCCAGAGGCGATTCATGACTGGATTCAAAATCTATCTATGTGGGCAAATATCGAACACACTCACCGTACAGACGCGCACCGGGAAGAGCATGAGGAAGTGCGAGTACATGTCCTGCATGAAGGTGAAGATCAGGCCACCGCTGGCCTGCAGCTCTCCGGTGTGCTTCTTGCTGAGCGGTACGCAGCAGAACACATCCAGGCGATTGCTCTACACACCAGTACAGCACAACACAACACACAACACAGCACAGCAGACAGTACATTCAACCGTGTTGTTACAATTCTACAAACCTCCATTGCAGTAATTGACTAACTTCAGTCAGTCGGCAGGAAGCGCGAGCTCCGACGTTCGGAGCAGACTCATTCTTCGCTAATCACCGCTGATGTCGCAACACCTTTCATACTGTTGTCCCTAATACAAACCTAAATCTGAGGTGCTGGATATCAACAAGAATTCAAATATATGTCTACAGACCAAATGGTACTTACAATCGGCTTTTTGTGCTCCATGACTTCGCCACCACACAGAGAGACTTTTAAACTTGTGACTACATTGCAGGGTCCATGTGAGCATTGCCATGCTTGCGGCAAGAGTATACAAAGAAGAACTGAACAACTGGGCATGCTGTTGGATTCTAAACCCTCATCCAGTTTCAGCTAAGCATTATCCACCTAGACATGTGCATGCTACTCACCCTCTGTCTTCTCATGTCCAGGGACATCAGTGCCAGGAAACAGGTGATCTGTTCTCATACGCACACACAGGTACGTGCACACACACACACATACACACGCACACGAGTGTGCACGGGCGCACACCCACACACCCATACACACATGCACACGCACACACGCACGCATGTGAATGCATACACCCACGCACAAGGACAAAAACACGGACATCGATCAATACATACTTTCATGAAATACATTGCCACCACTAACACATTTCTCATGCGTTGGAGGGTTATGTTATGTTATCTGTATTTTACTTCACCATCGGTACAGGCCTGCCTTCATGCTGTGGATCATGAATGATGCTACAGATCCTAGGCTATGATGAAAAGAAAAAGAAGAGGTCTGGGTAGGACTACTGAAAAACCAGAAACCCAGAACTATGCACATTCTTTCTAGATATCTGGACATCACAATACAGCACCTACACGAATTTCATTCCACTATGCTATCAGTCAAGGCTAATGTCGCTTCTTCCAAGTTCGTACAATAACATTACTTTCCTCTCCCGTTGCCTTTCAGCTCATTCCAACCAATAGTAACTCAAGAAGAAGAGGATCATTACAAAGATCAGATGGTGGCGGGGTTCAACGTTAGCCTAGGTTACAAATTGGTAAGACGCAAAGACGAAGACGAGCAGTGCACACCCGGGACTAACCTGCAGAAGGAAGTTGACGAACACGGCCATGCCGGCGTAGAGGGAGAACGTGCGTACTGCTGGCATGGTGGACAGAGCACCTGTATGCATGCACCAACACGACAATACAGGACACCTCAATACACTGCAACCACGACCAAGGGATGCTATTTCCAGTGAAATGTCCCTGGATAAAAGAGACCACCTGGTAACAGAGACCACATTTTGAAGGACCCTTGAGCGGTCGTCTTAAAAAAGGTTTCACTGTACTTTGATATGCACTAAGCCTGCCATAGCTCATTCTGTACTTGCAAACCAAGCTGCTTTGACTGCAGCTAGACAAAAACAGAAAACTGGAGTGATCCAGTGGAAAACAGACAGGCAGACGGACGAACAGACGGAGAGACAAGACACACATTAGCAGGTGTCTTTTACAAACACGAGAGGCGGAGAGACATCTCCAAAAGACGCGAGGGTTCGGTTTCAACAAGGCAACAGTGTACATGAGTGTGCTGGTACACCTGCAAGCCACGCACGTGATAACTCCAGCAGTCTATGCAACAACATGTTCGCATGCGCCTACTAACCCAGGAAGAATGCCGTGGATTCACTGACACCTGTCAGCAGCATGCTGGGTGCCACCTCGCCGACGATGCGACCGAACTGTTCAATGTCCGTCTCGCCGTCCCGCTTCTCATCTCTCTGTAAACACAAAGCAGACACAAAGTCATCTCTTTAATTAACACCTTCCACACCAGTCTTTCACTGCAATTGCACACACAGTCAAAACCAACCAAGTCCAGTTCATCTAACGGTTCAGAGAAAACAACTTGCACAGGTTAAAACAATATTAGAGAGGTGATGGTGAAACACACCAGGTGAAATGGCGGTCAATGCACGTCTGCCCCCACAGCGCTCTCTAAGCTGCAATGCTCTGCAAATTTGGAGTCTTCTCACTATTCTGATTTCAGCAAGGTGGATTACAGATATCACGCCGGCAGCATACCTGATGAGACTGCACGAGGATGCAGATATTATCAACGCCAACGGCCAGAACCAGGAAAGGCACTACTTCGACGATGATCAACGTGGCCGGGACACCGAGGTAGGCAAAGAAACCAAGCGATGCGCCCACCGCACACAAGACGATCAGCACACCGCTCAGGCCAATGAGAGCCTTGGAGTCGATCTGTAACACAGCGCACACAAGCGGCACACAAAGGAACGGAATGGCGTGTTTTTGTCACTTAGTGTGCGGAAAACGTATTCCGCTATAATGCGGGTCTTACACCAACACGAGTTGTAATAAGTTGACTTGATGCATTGATACACCTTCATACAATTCGTAAAATAAGGACTTCACTGCTAAGTCAAAGAAGGCTTATCATCCGATTTCAAGTCTGGAATACAATACAACTACAACGATCATCATGTATCTCAGGTGACAGGATCCAGTGCAGCTTGGCTGCTGTCCCAGACTTACAAGATTCCTGGCGGGATAGGTGAGACTGTATTGGCCGAGCGTGAAGCCAATGTAACAGAACATGAGCAGGTAGCTGATGGCTATCGTCATCTCGTCCGCCGCGCTCTCTCGGTTCACCTCGTCCTCGATGGAGCGCTGTGTGAACAACACACCAGCAGCAGCACCACCAGCACCACCGGCAGCACCAGCAGCAGCACCAGTAGCAATAGGAGTAGCAACAACACCACCACCAGCACCACCGGCAGCACCAGCAGCAGCACCAGCACCACGAGCACCACGAGCACCACCAGCACCAGCACCAGCACCAGCAGCAGCACCAGCAGCAGCAGCACCACCACAACCCACCACGAGCACCACCACCACCAACACCAGCAGGCAACAACAGGCAACACCATCACAAAGCGGAAAAGAACCAAGTTTGAACGGAGCACTGCAAAGATATCATATCAAGTAGTGATGAAACGGATATACCGAGTATTCGAATATCCGTTTGCTTTGTCACATTCGGATGATATCCTTTACGTCACTTTGATTGCAGTGTATGTACATGCATGTAACACCGACATAAACAGAAGAAGAACAAAGTTGAAAAGGGAACACTGATCAGCAGCAGCAGCCGACACCATCACAAACCGAAGAAAAGAACCAAGTTTGAAGGAAGCACTGAAATTGCAGTGGAGAACGGATATAACGACCTTGCATATAACGACAGATTGAGTTTAGCGACACAATTATGTTGCCCAAGTTGTTTAGTAAGTCCTTTGTGAAGATCGGGTTTAGTGACAGATCGAATATAGTGACATTGTGTTCTCTCCCGAAGGGGTGCCGTTATAGCCAATCTCCACTGTACAGCATTATCAAGTGCTCATCAGAAATACCCTCTGTAGTCAATCGCTGGCCGAACGTCGCACATGAGACACACACACGTGCACGTGCACAAACACATGTGCAAACGCACAAGCACGCACACACACACACACGTGTACACACGCACAAACACACATGCACAGATGCAAGTGTAAGCGCTCACCTGAGCATTGACAGCGATGGACAGGTCCAAACTGTTCTCATACTCGTACAGAATGAAATCTAGGAAACTGTACAATAATGAGTAGAGGGCAAGGGAAATCACCACGGATACGAGTACAATCATACAGTGTATGCAGACAAATAGTCATGTATGCCCAGATATGTCAATGTACGCATGCATAAAGAACAAGCCAACACAATACACACACAAACACGTATCTCTTATTGGCGATGGTGCCATCGTGAGAATAAAGAATTAAAAAAAACACGCACGCACACATGCACGCACGCGCACACACACACATACACCATGTACCACACACACGCACACGCATGCGCACGCACGCAAGCAGGCACACACGCACCCCCCCCCCCCCCCCACACACACACACCCTTTCCAACCACGCCTACATAGATGCAACAAGGACGTTTAAAAATTTCATAAACCCGTACTGCTCCTCATCGCTAACCGTCACTATCATCAACACAACACACACTGGACCTCACCGTTTTTCCCACGCCTCTGCCATCTTGTTCTCTTCCTCGTTGACATGATTATTGACAACGAACGTGACTAGCAAAGCGGTGGCGTTGGTGTAAGCATCTCCGGGGTATCCCCCCAGGACCACGTTGGCCATGGCGGGACCCGAATAGTCCGCCATGCAGGAGATGTTTAGGCCGTCGGCGTTCTGGCTGTTCGTGTCGAACGGCGCTCTGTGTATACGGGCAGAGTATATTAGAACGTGGTATACGGATAATGTTAAGTGTGGGCTTAGTTGATTGTATGTTCGTGCCAATGCAAAACCTGTGAGATTTTGAGTGCACTGCTTCATAAACTTCACGGCGTTAAGTGAAGCGAGAGAGTTAGAGAGAGAGAGAGAGAGAGAGAGAGAGAGTGTGTGTGTGTGTGTGTGTGTGTGTGTGTGTGTGTGTGTGTGTGTGTGTGTGTGTGTGTGCGTGTGTGTGTGTGTGTGTCAGCATAGCTCCCGGAGATTTCGGCAGTCCAGGGACCTGACGCGGCACCGGCGTGTGTGCTCCTCTCCCTCGTCCCGCAATGGGAGCACATAACTTTTACAGCAGTGGGTCAACAGGACAGCACAGGACCAATAGCATGGTGTATTGAAGATAGCAAACTATCGCTCACACTCGCACGCACCCTTATCAGGAGCATAGCTGGCCCCCTTCTAGGGGTTGCACGGCCGCATATGTGCAGGATGGCTGGTGCATGTCATTAAAGGGGAAGTATACCCTAAAATCAAATTTTCACCAGTTGTAGTCTTCTGGGTGCTGAGTCGAATGGTCTTGGTCCGAGGAAGCTGCGACGCTCCCTTCCTACTTGAATCCCAATCGAACTCGCGCACTTCCACCGAAACTGGGTGACTGCGCCCTACTAGATGGGGATTTGTATGCAAAATGTCACTAAAAGCGCCATTTCGTTCTTATAAAAGCACGGATGACCGCGATTGGCCCATGTGTTGTAGTCTTTTGGACGCTGAGTCGACTGGTTTTGGTCCGAAAAGGCTGCGATGTAGCGTTCCTCCTTTATTCCCAATCGAACATGGTTGAACAAGCGGTCACGTGCTCCTGCGTACACCAGTCACCTAGTCACCGTGCCTG